ACCAGTCGACTCAGCGTCCAAAAGACTACAACATATGGGCCAATCGCGGTCATCCGTGCTTTTATACGAACGAAATGGCGCTTTTAGTGACATTTTGCATACAAATCCCCATCTAGTAGGGCGCAGTCACCCAGTTTCGGTGGAAGTGCGCGAGTTCGATTGGGATTCAAGTAGGAAGGGAGCGTCGCAGCTTCCTCGGACCAAGACCATTCGACTCAGCACCCAGAAGACTACAACTGGTGAAAATTTGATTTTAGGGTATACTTCCCCTTTAAGGCAGTTCCAGCAGAGTCTCTCTCGCTGCAGAAAACCCTTTCTCCCTTCCAGTGGCAGCGACTTTAGCTGCTTCTCTGCATCTGCGACCGATATCGCTATGCACTGTGCCGACGCCGTGGGCCTTGGCACGGATCGTTCTACTGGCTTCCTGGCAGTATCACCCTGTCGTCCGTGCGCGACCTGGTAAGACGCGCCGTGCTCCTGTACCTGGCGCAGTGACATCCCGTAGCACTGCCGTTCGACCAGGTACGTCTTCATCTCAGGTCCGCATTGCTCCAAGATTACCTGCTTTGCCATTGCTTGCAGCACCGGGGACATTTTTCCTATATCGGCGCTATACTTGGTGTCCACCTCGCCATCTTCTGTCATAGCGAGTGTGGCCCACACCTCTACTTCTCGGCAAACACGGACAACGTATTGGTGAAACGACTCATCTGACCGCTGCTTGCCTGTCAGCAATGTCTTCCACGCTTTATCCGGAGTCTTTCCGAGCGAGGCGAGCAACTCTCGCTTCGCTTCCTCGTAATTATTGCATCCAATACATATCCTCTCCGCTTTGCTACCCGCTAGCGCGATGCGCAGTCGCAGCAGCCATTCGCTTTCTTCGAACTCGTTCTTGGAACAGATGTCCTCGAACAGGTCAAGATAACGCTCCAATGGCTGCGTTCCATCATATGAGGGGATTTTCATCAACGGTTGACGCCCCCCGCTGTTACTGGGAGCTTCCTCTGTACCTCCCATTGCGGCTTTACCATCACCCTCATACGCATTGGCGATGCGCTCGTTAATCTCCTTTAGTGTTTTGTCAAACTCGGTGCGGAGCGCCTCCTCTCGCCGTCTGGCACTGCGCTCCTCACGCTCTTGGTACTGTTGGAGCCTCTGCTCCACATGTACCTTCAACAACTCGCCTTCTAATCCTAACCGCTCTCCATTGTCGATAAAGCTGGCTTCCAAATTGTGTAGTTGCTCTGCCATGCTCGCTCCTATCCTGGCGTGGTCGCCAAATGTTGTGAACCCTCTAAGATTCTCTAAATTGTCAGGATCGTACGACCACACGGCACGAGGACAACTCTTTCCTTTACACAGTATATTTCACTTCATCGAGTAATTAACAATGAACACTAATAACACCAGCTATTTATAGCATGCAAAAACAGCATACATGCAAAACATAAGCATATAAAACTGGACATAACAGCGTATACAGCAAAACGCACACAACGCATATAGCGTATGCCATGCAGCAACATCAGCGGTACGGCGGAGTCGAAATACAACATTGCAACGAATACAATGCCATAAGCGCGAAGGCCTTTCCCAATTGAGAACTGGTGGTTTGCAACACATGGTGACGGGCACACTGAAACTGTGTGAGTTTAGTTGGACAAAAAAGTTGGGGTACGAGGTGATTCGTCATTATTTAACACGAAAGTAAAAAAGCCTTCCGCAGGGTTCGAGGTGCGAATTTTTCCATTTCTTCCTCGGAAATGTAATAGTACTGATGTCCTTAGACTGCAATGGTGGGTTGTTCACTCACATAATCCTTGGTGTTGGGAAGCAGGTGGCAGTTGAAAAATGGCAATTTTTCCGCATATTATTTGTTGCAATTACTACTCCCTGGTTTGAAGATCTACCCCGAACACGCTAACGTGATAACCCGGTAACCCGCGCACCGCTCAGATCATCCATAATTCTTCCTAAAGCTGGCACCTACTTTCGTAAATCAACCCTTTTTCTTTGAGTGTTGCTTGGAATAAACTTCCTGAAGATATTCGTTCACTCTCCAGGGGCGGATCCAGGGGGGGGGGGGGGGGGTTCGGGGGGTTCGAACGAACCCCCTAAAATTTTTCCGACCATGGTGCAGTTTTTATTTTTTATTTTATTTTTTACAAAAGCCAGGCATGCGAATTGCTCCTAGGATCCTGGCCTGCCGTAGCGCATATATAGCCCGAGCTGAATCATGCAGATGTTACATTGATACATGTACATTGATATGACCCTCAGACGAACACCTTGCCAATGGGCCTTTCCCAAATCGGCCATTTATTTTGGCCTATTCGGCTTTTCGATCGGCTGAAAAAATCGCCAGAATCGGCTGAAAATTTCTGTAAAAGGTGGAAATTCGGCTCTAAAGTCGCAGCCACCTTTCGCAGATAATGGCTACAGAAATTGTATTTGCATCCTATTGAGGCACTAAAACATCAATTTTCGGCGAATTCAGTGCGAAAATCGCGTATTCGGCTAAAAGATCGGTGATTTCTTCAAAACCACTATTTTCGGCCAATGTTTCGGCCGGCCGATTTGGGAAATGCCCACGGGCCGTGACACAGGCGCGCACGAGCGGTCATGGCCAGTTGCCCACGACCCTGCAAAACATGTACATGTACTACTTTCACTTTAGCTCATACATGTACATGTACACCCTTCAAAGCGGTGAACCCTTTGTAGTCTAGGAGACAAGTCAGCAAAAGTCCAAGGAATAAGGTATTGATAGGCGACAAGCCTCTGGGTCATCCTAATAAAGATATTATTATCTGTTTTCTGATGATCGCTTAGTGCGTGAAACTCTGAGTAAAAACACTTCCTCTGTCCTCCTATTGTTTGTATTATTATTACATGTACATGTATATTCAATCTGCGGACAGAACTGTTTCGTCCTTTGTGGACTCGTCAGCGCAGCGCAGCGTCAGTACATGTATATTCAATAATTATAGCTATGAATAGGATGAAGGCCGCAGACATCACGCAACTACGTTACTTGTTTGACATGTATTACTGTGTATTTTATAACAAAAATATGATCGAAAACCCAGAATCGATAGCTACATGTACATGTATATTAAAATTATTATCTCCAGGTAGATTACATGTATATTCGGCGATTTCTTGGTAAAATCTCAGAATCCGGCGAAAAGATCGGCGATATTCTGAAAAGGCTACTTTTCGGCGAATTTTTCGGCCGGCCGATTTGGGAAAGGCCTACTGTAAATCAACTAATTTTCGCTGGCGATCTAATTTCGCTGATTTCGCTGCTTGGTGCCCACTGGCCAAAGTAAATCGCAGGCCAAAGTTTGTCATAGAGTCAAATGATGCAAGATTGAACCCCAATCGGCCAAAGTTTGATCACGGCCAAAAGTTTCATTTGGAGATCGGCCAAAGTTTCTCACCGGCCAAAATTTGTTGATTTACAGTACTTGCCAACATTCAACGCTTGGTCGACACGTATTCTGATGATCTGCCAAGCTCTTCAACTATATCAACTGACATCCGAAAGTGGGTCAGGAAATGGAAGGACGCAGCAGAGAAGTCTGGTGCACTTCCAGCTACCCCACAAGAAGCTCTTGTGCATTGCGATGCAGATGTTTTCCCGAACATCCACGTCCTCCTCCGGATTGCTTCAACACTACCCGTCACCTCTGCGGAGAATGAGCGCAGCAACACTGCCTTGAAACGGCTGAAGCTCTACCTGCGCTCGACAATGGGATCAGAGCGCCTATCCTCTAACCCTTTCCCAAAGGTGCCTGCCCTTTTTCGCCCTTTTTGGAAAAGCCCCGTTTCTTTCGCCCTTTATTGCGTTTTTTGGTGAATATCGCCCTTTTTGAGCTTTTTGAGCTGAAAAAGTGCTAAAATCTGTTTGCTCATACATGCCTATCCGTCGGCAGGACAGCAACCACCCTGTTATTAACCACTGTATTCCAGCAAATTTCATTTCCATCAGTCGTCATCCTCTCCATTCTACAATACTTTTGATTATCCACATTATAGGCACTGTACATTAGTCGGTAGCCAATTTCTTAACCACTGTAGTCCAGCAACTGTCATTTTCAAAAAGCACTTTTTATTTTTTTATGTCATCATTTTAACACACTTTGGTAAGGGTGGAAGAAAACTGAACCCCCTTGGAAAAATCCTGGATCCGCCCCTGCTCTCTACAACAGCGACATTTAGTATTGCTGTTTGTCGGTATCATTCGCAATCTATGTTTTCTTTGAAAGGTATTCCTGACTTTTGTGTCTAGGCTAACCACATCTATGATAGCCTAGTTTCAATAGTTTGTGTATATGTCAGTTATAGTAGTCCGCAATGCTGCTTTTCTAATTCTCATTATGATTAGCATGCAATGTACTACCCGAAGTAATGAATTTATTTCTTTTGTACTCTACATTCTAATGTATCTTCTACCTCTTCTCGCCTACGAACATACTTTCTCATTTTCCATACTTACTTACCGTATTATCTCTAATATAAGCACAGTCTCCAATAACAGCACGTCTCCAATAATAGAACACCTTGGGGCGGCATTCAAAAAATAAAGTGCTCAGTCTCCATTATAAGCACACTGTGTAAATTCATTATCTGTACCGGCGAAAAACCCCTGAAATGTGTGTGTCTGACATGAATTTGGCATGGCAACATGCCTCTGAAATGAGGTTGAAATAATAATGGAACAGTCTCCAATAAAGGAACGTCTCCATTAATAGCACGGGGCGGAGGTACATTGAAAAAATAAAGGACCGTGCTTATATTTAATATAGCTTAGAGATGGTAGGAGACTCCCTTCGCGATACTGATAGGCATCTACATGGAGGATCCGTGAAATAAAAATCAATCAATCTGAATCAATCAAGATCAGAACGCAAGGTACCGAAGCGGGGAAGTCCCATTTGCGGCCGCGGGAACGTGTTGACATTTTGAAAGCGGGATTCGATTTTTTATTTATTTTCGAACACCCCAAGCACTTGCACTGACGACAGAGTCAGAGAACGTGCATTTTGGCTCAGTTTGTGTTGTCACGATTTCACTCAGTCTCCCTGCAGCTTGGTTCGTGTCGAGGATAGACAATGCATAAGTTGGCAGCTCTGTTCTTATGGGCCCTGATTCGCCGGGCTGTGGCAGAAGACAGTCGATTAGGACGTGCAGAAGTTGAACTGCCACTCGAAAACGTTACGAAATTTGCTTTTGGAAGTTGCAAGTAAGTGGTATGATACGAATAGATAAGTAGCAGTTCAAGCAGTGCGTTGGCTGTTAACCATTAGAATTTCCCAGATAATCCAGCACGAGTATGGACGACCCCTAGCCTGACTGGCTTCCTGACTGTACTAGCTGTATACTGTGTTTGTGAAGTCTATCTTTGCAGTTTTTTTATGAGAAAAAATAATTCTTTCAATTTTTTTATGCACACGGCGAGGAGACAATAATTTTATTAGGGCCTGGTCAGACTGCGGCAAATTTTGGTTGCCTGACGAAAAAAGAACAGCGTCCAGAATTTGAATCGCGATCACACTACACATGTGGGGAGAGTGAAAATTCAAACTTCATTTCGAGCGTCAAGTGGTAATCTCCACGAACGACGTCAAATTCCTTCACCTTGGGGATCGCCAACACCTTCAGTGCAATCCTTGCAACCATCCTTATGAGTTTTGTTGTTGTCCGTGGCCAATTAGTTCCTCGATATCGAGATGAAAAAATCAGTGATTATCAGCGTCAATGGCGTATCAGCGTCAAATCCTGTTTGGAGCGGAAACGCGTGGTCCGTTCTTGCTTTTTTTTTGGAGCGTCAACTCTCGCTTTTGCCGCTCTGGCGGCAAGTTACTATGGAGATTCGGATTATAATCCTAGGATTATTTCGATTTTGCCGCAGTCTGACCAGGCCCTAACCGCAATCAATAAAACTAGCTGAACCGACATTTGTGTACTTTATTCATGCAATGTAAAAACGGTGGAGACGATGTGCAATAAAACGATGAAAATATGAAGAAATGGTGTAGGGAAAAATATGGATTCAAACAAGTTTTCGTACAACACTCATCAGGAATCGTCGTTATACTAAAGGACACTGAAACAAAAATTGAACTATTATAGAAAATCTAAGTTAGAGAAATAACACTAAGAGCAACAGCAGTGAAATTTACAAGTGTGAATTTTAACAATCAAAGCGAGAAATGAACAAAGGAGAAAGGAAGGAAAGACAACGTGATAACACATAACAGCAGTACATTACACCTAGAACATTAACGGCCAAGCTTGGCCGCACTAAACATGACACGTTACTTGAACAATTTCAACCCAATTATACTATCTTTCTGTACACACAAATTAGGCTTATACAGACGCTGATAGATAGCTTCCAACACTTTTAACTGTAGTCCATAACCATGACGACCACGGCACAATACAGTGAACAAAGAGTCGGAATACGAATTGCAACAATCAGGACTAGCTAGCAGATGATTGTACACTGAAGACTTGCTACCACGAAACCTACGCACAACACTAACACTCTCACCGGCACTCTCACCATCACTCCCATCACTGCTCTCCGACTCACTGCTCCCTCCGCCGTCCATTCCATCCTCCGCTTCCTCTGTACTCTCTCTGTCTCGTCCATCCCGCCTGACCGGGTCCATTGAACTCAACTCGGCCGTCACCCTGCTATCACGTCCCTCCTTTCGCCCTTGTCCGCTGAGTGCGTAGCTTCTGTTGTAGTTGGCTGTTGATCGTCTTGGTCTTTCAATTATGGGCTTGGATGGTGGATTAGTTGTGGTTGCTGTAGATTGCGTTGTTGGTGTTGGTGTGGGAGCTACTGATATGCAAGGTGGGTCTTTTTGAGTCGGCATTTGTAGTGTTAATGCAGCTGTCAGTGTTGCTCGCGGTCTGCCACTGGCAAGCTCCACCGCCGCAAGAACCGATGGCGGAGGATCAGGAGGAGGCAGTGGGACCGGGACCGCAAGCGGCACCGCCTCAGCCAAAGCCGCCGGGGGCACTGACGAAGGAACCACCGACGGCCGGAGCAAAGGCGGCGACACAAGCCAACCCGATGAGCCACCACGCCCATTCTCTTCCACCACCGCCACCAGCGACGGCGGAGCAAGCGCAGTCTGTGAGCCAGGATCCGCGGGTTGTGTAGGCAACGGCTGTGTGGTTAATGGTTGTTTTCTAGGTCGCCCTCGCTTCGGTCTTTGTTGTTGTACGTAAGGTGGAAGTATGTGACGTGGTGTGTGTTGTTTGATGCGGAGGATGGAACGGACGGCGGAGGGAGCAGTGAGTCGAAGAGCAGTGATGGGAGTGATGGTGAGAGTGCCGGTGAGAGTGTTAGTGTTGTGCGTAGGTTTCGTGGTAGCAAGTCTTCAGTGTACAATCATCTGCTAGCTAGTCCTGATTGTTGCAATTCGTATTCCGACTCTTCGTTCACTGTATTGTGCCGTGGTCGTCATGGTTATGGACTACAGTTAAAAGTGTTGGAAGCTATCTATCAGCGTCTGTATAAGCCTAATTTGTGTGTACAGAAAGATAGTATACATGTAATTGGGTTGAACTTGTTCAAGTAACGTGTCGTGTTTAGTGCGGCCAAGCTTGGCCGTTAATGTTCTAGGTGTAATGTACTGCTGTTATGTGTTATCACGTTGTCTTTTCTTCCTTTCTCCTTTGTTCATTTCTCGCTTTGATTGTTAAAATTCACACTTGTAAATTTCACTGCTGTTGCTCTTAGTGTTATTTCTCTAACTTAGATTTTCTATAATAGTTCAATTTTTGTTTCAGTGTCCTTTAGTATAACGACGATTCCTGATGAGTGTTGTACGAAAACTTGTTTGAATCCATATTTTTTCCCTACACCATTTCTTCATATTTTCATCGTTTTATTGCACATCGTCTCCACCGTTTTTACATTGCATGAATAAAGTACACAAATGTCGGTTCAGCTAGTTTTATTGATTGCGGTTATCAAATTTTTTTATGCATCATGATATCACACGAACCAGCCATGCCAGCACATAAGATATGGAAAACACCTCCGTTCTACGTTCCACGAACGGGCTCTCAGCTGCACAGAATAAATGGAAGGGTTGCCAATATTTCTTTAAGAGAGTACATAACCCCCCCCCAGAGTGTGCAACTCCACTATATCAGTGCCGTCCTGGCAGGATTTCAAGTTGACGTCATTATTATTACCGTATTATCTCTAATATAAGCACGGTCCTTTATTTTTTCAATGTACCTCTGCCCCGTGCTATTAATGGAGACGGTCCTTTATTGGAGACTGTTCCATTATTATTTCAACCTCATTTCAGAGGCATGTTGCCATGCCAAGTTCATGTCAGACACACACATTTCAGGCTTTTTCGTACTGCATTTTACCAGGTACCGATAAAAATGCACACATTTTCATTTTTTTTAAATGGCGGTTGTGTGTCGAAAGGGCAGAAAGTCAGAGGATGCTGCAATATTCACACCCTCTCCTTGGTTTGTAAATACATTGTAAACTGGGAAACATTTGCGCTGATTTTACAGTAAATTCACAATAATTTGCAAGACTTGTTTTGTGGGAATTTAACAGCAAAAAAATAGCCCCATATGCATAAAAAACAGCAACAAGAAGACAAATGCATACACTAAGGGAACGAAAGTCTTGCTGTCTGATACCTGCTTGAATTTATGTTTGGTGTGTGTGTGTGTATGTGTGTGTATGTGTGTGTATGTGTGTATTTGTGTGTATATGTGTGTCAGTTTGCACGTATATATTTGTGTGTGTGTGTGTGTGTGTGTGTGTGTATGTATGTATGTACTTCGAAGTATGTATGTGTGTCACTGTGTGTGTCTGTGCATACGTGCGCACTCTTTGCATGTGCATGTGATACGTGTGTCCTGTCGTGCCTTCACGGTAATGTCGCACTGCAGTCAAGGATCAAGTCCGCAACCACTATGGAAGCACATTGAGGCTGAGAAGCCTGGGTTTTTTCTCTGGCTAGGAGATGGTGAGTACGAGCACGTTTGCTTTTTCATTACAATAATATTCGCTAGTCCTTGTGCCGATGATGAGCCTCTCTGGTCAGTCTGTCCCGGTGTTGCTGTTTTGCGGTTGAAAAGTGCATACCCGGTCATTACCGGTTGAATTGTAAGAAACTGAGGCAGAAACGGAGACTCCCTCGATTTAGGCTAAGGCCTGTGGAGAATCCATAAATACAATACAAATGCAAAGCTATAGTTCTGGACTCATGGTGTTGTTCTGCGCACACAATCATAATGTTTTCGATAACTGTAGAAGCTTTCATGCAATTCCATCCAGGCAAGGGGGTTGTTATGAGCATTGCCGTGCCGGGAATGTGCAGCCCGGGAGTGGCACCTCAAGCCTGATTCATACTTCGTTTCGCGTAAGGGAAGCGCGTTGCAATGCCCGTCACGGCGAAATGCCTGAGCTCGACTTGTTTAGGCCCATCGCACAACCGTCGCACGAAGCGTTCCCGTACGCGGAATGATGTATGAATGGCGTTTTAGTCCCACAAGCATCTACTGTAAAAGCAGAAATTTTCTGCGGTGTTTTATTTTCGGTAACTTCGGTGCCGACAATTTTTACCGATAATAAAACGCACCGAAATTTTCATTACAACCGATACTGTATACATGAGTTGTTTTTCTTCTCTCATTTTCTTTCCCTACTACAGTCCATTCATAAAAAGATGGGCTCTGGCTCTGGCGAGCTCCCGTATTTGGCGATTTTTCGTGATTTCATCGTACACAGTGCAGTGCTGCGAAATTTGAAATTTGAAAAAGGGTCCAAAAAGGGTACCTGAACTGGGGTTCGAACCGCACAATGCACTGTTGCAGACGGGGTCAAACGGCCTGGATTTTTATGGTTTTTCCCAATTCAATGCTTTGGGGGCAAAACCTGGCCGAAATCCTATTCTTGTTATGGCTTGCTTTTTGGAGAAAATAACTTCAGAAACATAATTGGAAGAGGATTCCATAGAGGATTGCAGAAAAAAATTCTAAAAAAACTCAACGTTTGACCCATTTATGGCCAAAAGCTAGAAGTTCATTTTTTTCTGAATGGACTGTAGTTGCTGTTACACTCACTAATCCTTATGCACAGATATACAGCATTCCCTCACTAGTGGGACCATTGTTATTAGGCTAGGGCCTGTTTTGGACTTCCCACTCTAAATAAAGAATACAAACAAACAAACATGTAGTACACTTACCTGGAAAACGGGTTTTACCGAAAATTTCGGTACTACCGGTACTGTATACATGCAGTACACTTACCTGGAAAACGGGTTTTACCGAAAATTCCCCTCCACCGAACTGCCGATTTTGGAGAAAACCGAAAATATTACGCCACCGAAAATGTCTGCTATTACAGTAGTTTAGTCCCGTAAATACAATATCTACCGTATTCCTCAGTCAGTCTTTTTTTGTACCACCCGATGATGAACCATGCCCGGGAGTTTGGGGATGCAAGAGTGGAGAGATTGTTCAGCGGCTGATGAGAGCTCTTGCCTGATGTGTACGTGCATGGCTGTGTTGGAGTGTGCGTGTACATCAATAAACAGTGCTGGCTGTGCAATAGATGATAGGCCAAATAACGTGCAACTAGACTTGAGAGGGCATCGCACACAAGTTGCATACACATTATACTACAGTGTGTACCCGGTAGGCCCTGAGCTCTGCAGGAATACTAGTCACAGGTACCCGTACAACTTTGAACTTTGTATGCAACTACTCTGCAATGCCCTCCCAAGTCTAGTTGCACGTTATTTGGCATATCATCTATAGACCACAGGAGATTTGATTATTAACAGAACATCCGAGTCTGACTGTATGGGCAGTTGATGTTAGACTTAGAGAGCTCTTGTTTCAATGAGCTCGAAATTAGTGAGGACGGCACCCATGTTCTCTACCTCGCCACCTTTCTCTCCTCAACTGAAGTAGCTGAGCTCTAGTTCTGTACTGTACTGCATTGCCGACTGTCTTTTCTAGCTGTGTACGGCGATAATCGTGTTCTGCCACTGATCTGGCGGCCGAATACGATCGAGGCGGTGAGAGAGAAGTACGCTGAGCAGGCACGTCACCCGGAATACTCGGTATGTCATGTGTGTGTGTGCGTGCATGCGTGTGTGTGTGTGTGTGTGCGTGTGTGCATGTGTGTGTGTGTGCAGTAGTAGCTGTTGTTTGTGTATGTGAGTGTGAGTGACGTGCGGTTTGCAGTGCTGGAGTGCGTGAGTGTGGTGTGCAGTTTGTAATTCTAGAGCATGTGAATGATGCTAGCTCCCTGGTCAGCGGATAACAGAGAGCCGTAGCATATAGAGAGACAACACGGGCAACTGGGATTTTAAACAAAGTGGCTATTTCTCTAGTTCAGTGCTGTGTTCATTTTCTTTGCGTCCATGGTTCGATAAGTTCTTGGGGTTTCTTTTCAGATAGCCACTTCAAATTACTAGTAGTGTGCCATGGTGGTAGTTTGAGAATAATATCTTTCATTCAAAGGTTTGTTCTTTCAACCAACAGCCACGTTTGCACGGGCAGCACTAGGAGTGTATGCCAGCTGGTTCATGGCTTACCTGGGAGCCAGGTGATTTCATTAGTTTTCTCTGAAAAACAGGTTATTCCATTAGTTTCTCTCTGAAAACCAGGTGAAAAATTTCAAAAAATGAAGCAAAATCCTGCATTTGTTCTGCAACAAACCAACAACAGGAAAAACAATGCCAGGAGTAATAAAATATGTCCCGAAAGCGGCCTCACATCGCAGAAAATAACTTGTATTGTACAGCCAGTCAATCATAGTACAAGTAGATGTAGTATAATAATAGTATTATATACTTGAAAATACCGCCATTCCATATGACCTTCCGGCTGCGGTTCTTCCTGCCCCTCTGCTCATGTACCTCGGGCTGAAAGCTCAGCACTTCATTGTATCCATTGGCCTTTAAAGCGGTCTGGTACACCGGGGCTGCATGGTTGAGTGCCTCGGCGTCGCTTGATATAGTGGAAAGGCGCTTGTTGACAACAGCAGGGATGTTGTTGGTGATCCCAGGCGGGTGATTGGACTGCTTGCTGACATAGAGCGGGTGGTCATTTGGCTTTCGGAAGGGTTGAAATTTCCCTGTGTCCAGGTTCATCGTGACATCTAAGAAATCCTCCACCTTCAAGTTCGCTTCGATGGTAATTCTTAGGTCGAAGCGCTTGAAGATTTCCATCAGCTTTTTCCTAAGGCGGTCTGCAGCCTGTGGGCTAGTGTCCTTGAGAGCGGCCAGTCCATCGTCTCTATAGAGGCCGATAGCGGATCTATCGACGTGGCTTGAGAGCTGGTTGAGAATAATAATCAGTGAACTTACAAATATGTCACGAAGATCATGCACATTCTATGGTGGATATTAGTACATACCTCGTTAGCCATTTCAGTTGCTTTGGCAAACCAAGCGGTATGGCGAGCATCAACTCTGCACTCAGCTATCTGATACCTCACGTGTTGCACTTGCTCGTAGGTACTGACAATGTCAAGTGAGGAGGATTGCAATGGCACAGTGAGGCCATGCATGTATGCCATGACTTCAGCTGTGATAGTGAAGACTGCAATTAAGTTGAAATCCGTGATTGCTCGGAGCAAAGATGATGCAGCTGCCTGAGACTCCGCGTTCCATGAAGCTCTTGGCGCATGGCTGATAGTCTCAAAAGTCTCCACCACATCCGTGAACATGCGTCGAAATTATGTCACCAGAGATGTGCTCTGGGCCACCCAACTTGTCTTACAAAGGTCGACGAGCTTCCTTGTGCGGTCGGAGTTGGCGTCAGTGGCATTCCTGCTGATGATGGATGCTAGGAGGCCATGTCGCTTGGGACTATATTTGAAAAATATACAAACGTCCCGGAGAACTGTCCACATGTTGGAGACTGCTGACAGCTTTGATGTCTGCATGACACAAAGATTCAATGCATGGGATGAGCAGTGAACGTAGATGGCCTTGGGGTATTGCTGGGCAATCATAGTAGCACAGCCTAACAACCTGCCTGCCATGTTGCCAGCTCCGTCATATCCCTGCCATGTTGCCAGCTCCGTCATATCCCTGCCATGTTGCCAGCTCCGTCATATCCCTGCCATGTTGCCAGCTCCGTCATATCCCTGCCATGTTGCCAGCTCCGTCATATCCCTGGCCTCGGAGCTTTTTCGAATCCAGTCCAAGCTTCTCCAGAAATGACAGGATGACGGCTGAGAGGCAAGCACCAGATGTTCCTTCATCGCACAAGGCAAATCCAACAAACTCCTCACAGATGTTAGAAGCCATGTCAACAAATCGCAAGACAATTGGCATTTGCTCTAGGTTGGCACAATCACTTGTCTCGTCTGCCAGGACACTGAAAAATGGACTAACCTTGACCTCCGCTATTATCGACTCCAGCAAAACTGCTCCAGAGCATTCAATGAGGTCATTCTGGATGCGACTGCTGGAGTAGCGTACGGGCTTGCCACCTGCTCGAACCTTGTAAAAGGTGTTGTCTGCTTGGCAATGGGGATCCCCAGCAGCTGCACGGAATTTCATCAAAGCCGGTAAGTTCCCAGGATTCCCTTCACCACTTCCGGCAGCTGCATGAGCTTCATTGCGATGACCGCGAAAAGGGATGTTCTGTCTTGCACAAAACACTACTGTTGTCGGCACAACAGATGGCAACATGCTTAGGTTCTCATTGACTTGCCAGGAGTGCTCAGACACACGTTGAATGGCAACATCTTGGCGCTTGTGTTTGGCAATCACAACAAACTCGTAGAAACCGGGTCATGGCAGTGACATGACAGGTATTCCCATCATGAGTCTGGAAGTCAGACTTGGCCTTATTCCAGTTCAAGTACGGCTTGCGGGATAGAGTGCCAAACGTTTGGCTACTCACAGCAAACAATACGCATGGCAAGCAGAGCGCTGCATCCTGACTGGGTGAGTATATCAACCCTGGAAATAGGTCACACCAACTGGATTGCAACTTCCTCTTCTTGCCACACAAGTTACGAATAGGGAACTCCACAGATGATGATGGGTTGCACTTCGCTGAAGCAAATCCGAACTTTTCTTGGAAGTCCAACGCCCGTGGCTCACGTTTCCATCTACCAGTGCCACTGTCATACAGTTTACCTACGTCTGAATGATCTATGTCTTGCTCGACATTTTCGGTTTCACTCACACAGGCAAAATTAATGCAGCAGAAGGGCTTGGATCTGGAGCGAAAAAAGCGCTTGGCAGGAGGGGAACGAGGGGACGAGTCACAAGAACTAGACCCAGTACTACTATCGTCTGGTACATTCACAGGTTCCTCTGACTCTTTCCTGGCTGATTTTCTCCACCAGGAGGAGTGTGTAGACTGTTTTTTGGAGGACATCCTCTTGGACAACAGTCAGGTACAAGTGCCACTTGAAAATTCTCGATAGATGATTTCCGAAATCAATAATTATTTTCCCCACCTGACTCAGTCCCCGCATATCGCGCAACACTAACAGTTCTCGCACAGCGATAAGCCACACTCGCTACACACCAAACAACAGCACATTTATATTGCGGTTAGGAGGGCCAGAAGTGTGACACCACGTTCTTTTACATGGAAGGATGCGGAATTGTAGAATAGCGGAAGAAGGGACAGAGCACATGGATATTCTATGAAAGCAACGCAATGGCAGCAACTGAGAGAGCAACGACCGAAAACCAGAAGCACCACTTGGGACCGTCAAATTAATTCGTCTGGGCCGAGCCAGCCGGGAAAAAACCCTCGCGCCGACGGACGCATTATTTTTTTGAGGGAAAAAACCGGGTGTAAAACCCCAAGTGACTAATCTGACAAGTACAAAAAGCAGGGAGGGAGGGTGGGTACCTCGAGACGACTGGCCAGTCGTGCTCATGCGCAGCGGTTTAGAGAACATGTGAAGATGTACGAGTAAAAAGAAATTGATCAGATGACTGCTCACTTGTGAGAAAAAAACACGAGAAAAAACCGCTGTGACGAGAAAATACTTCTCGCCTCTGTCGCTGCGCTCTGCCGTCGAGAAGATACCATTCTCGAGATTCATACATGTACCGTATACATGTAGTAACACCTCGCACGCGGCGCGGAGCGCAGTGCAGTGCATGGTGCATGCATGCACCGCGAACAAACTCAAAGCCGCTGAAGTCGACTCCCTGATTTTGTCCCGGTAACCAAGACTGGCGAAAAAAGAAGGGGGGTGGGGGGTTCCGGGCACCCAGGAACCCATACGGGGCACGCGCCTGCCAACCGCGGTCATCCGTGCTTTTATAAGAACGAAACAGCGCTTTTAGTGACTTTTTGCATACAAATCCCTATCTAGTAGGACGCAGTGGACGTGCGCGAGTTCGATTGGAAATAAAGGAGGAAGGGAGCGTTTCAGCTTCCTCGGACCAAGACCATTTGACTCAGCACCCCGAAGACTACAACTGGTGAAAATTTGATTTTAGGGTGTACTTCCCCTTTAACTTGTTAGCCGTATAGAGCCCAGATAGCTGGGAGCCACTTTGAACCCACCCCGGGCTATGCTCCTGACCACTAGTATTGCCACACATGTGTTTACATAGATTTTAGTGGTGTGCACGGGTAGTCGGGTACCCGTGCTACCAAGAGTACATAAGCCCCCAGAGTGTGCAACGCCGGATCCAGCTCTGCATAGGGTCTTGGTCGAGCGTAATTGGATCTTTGCGCCATAATACCGTACACATCTGAGGGGAACCCGGGGAGTAGTGGGGACTCTCGGATTAAAAAAATCGGTGCCCTGCCTCGAAACCGGCCTTGCGCTGGCGTGGAGTGTACGCATGACATCAGAAGATCCGACTACGCTCAACCAAGACCCTATGCAGAGCTGGATCAGGTGTTGCACACTCTTGGGGGGGGGTTATGTACTCTTGGTGCTACCCGTGAGGACCCTGGGTAGACGGGTACAGAATAGTACCCGAAAACCCGAAGTCGCAGATGACATCATATACAGTGCACGTGTACAAATTCATGTAATACTCCGCATGTCTACCTTGTGTGTAAAGGAAGGGGTGCATTGTGGTGTTACCATGGAAACATTACCCGATCGGGTACCTGTGGAAAACTACCCGAACCTGTTATGTGAAGAAAATGCTACCCGACTCAGCCCTAATAGAGTTCTGGACATTCCTTGGGCTGTCTTCCCTAGGCATGCTTGGCATGTACCGTAAAGTACCGCGAGAGTGCGCCACCATCTCGTGCTTTCGTGGTTGTATTGTGGAGGTGGTCTGCTGTCTGTAGGTCATACGACACGAACCTTGTACACGCATTGCACGTTGTGCAATCAATCCGTACCTTCGAGCGGACGCGAGCTCCACATAGAAACCTGCTAAGTGTGACCTTAGTACACTAAGGTTCTCACACCGTATAAACTTCATTACACTCTGCCATACGATTTTCCTTTCCTTCGCTGTAAAATCAAGACGGGGCGCTCTCACGATCCGAGGCGCTCTGGCGGTACTTCACGATACATGTAGTCAAATGAACATTGCTATCTCTCCTCCAGAAAGTGGCAGAAACTAAAACTTGCTAATGATGATCGTGCTGGAAACTTGCCAAAAGAAAAGACATTTTATTTAGTTTTTGGAAGAACTACACTGTAGTTCTTCCAAAACTAAAATGCCAATGAGATACATGTATGTATGGTGTGCCTAAGACTGCTGCTGTTCTTTGTTTCCTGAACTCTCTCTCCTCCGTTCCTCGCTGGTGTTGTCTGTAGAAATTTCTTGCGTCTGGAACTAAGGTGCTGGGTATCTGGGACGATCATGATTACGGACTCAATGATGGCGGCCGGGTGAGTGATGTAGTGTGTTGTGTATTTTCGGATTCTCCAGAGGTTAATGGATACCTGCTATCTTGGGAGTCTCTCCAAACCAATAGAAGGATGAAAATAGAAGTAGTCAAGTGGTGTGCTTCACTGTCCGAAGAGTGCTCAATACCCATGTAGGGCAGAGCCTTGTACACAAGAGAGATATTGGAAGCTTTGTTGCAACTCTGAGTTTCACGTATTGCCTGATGATCGTAGTAATACGTGAAACTCCGAGTTGTAAGTTCTAGTGGTGAAACGAATATACCGAATATTCGAATGTTCGTTCGGTTTGTCACATTCGAACGAATATTTCTCATGGCGAATATTCGCTAACTGGGTATGCAGAGTTTACCAGGCGACTTCAAACTTCCGTAACTTCGCGAATACTTGACCGAACCACTTCATCGAAAGTTCCATCGGCATTAGAAAACTCTCAGCTGTCGTCTCGAAGCAACCCGGACGCGATCCGAGGTCCTGGAATGGAGTTATGGCGGTCGAACGAAAAATCACGTCTCTTGAGCTGTTTTTTGAGCGTGTAAAATGCACTTCAGCTGGGGATTTTGTGAAAATTGACCTAGAGATGATGGAGAAATATGTGCCCTCGTTTGTCATGCTTAATAATAGTGACAATATCCAATAAAATGACTGAGAGGAGGGTGTGTGATGTCATCCGTGTTAACGAAAGAATATTCGTTCGTTCGTTCGTTAAGCCAAAGAATATTCGGCTACTGGGTTTTGATATTCGTTTCACCACTAGTTGTAACGAAGCTTTCAATCTCTCTCTTGTGAAAATAGAAGTATGCAGGGAGTGGACAAAGCTCCCAATCAAATCTGAGAAATTAAATCAAAGGTGGTGTGCTATGCCAGTATGCTACCCCCCAACTATGCATGTTGGATGCAAGTTTTCAACCGTGATCTCTTTTCAATGGGACAGGTGCTCTGCTCACTGCCTTTAAAGGCCCTCCTTGATTACCTCATGCAGCTTTATGTGCGCACTTCAGAAAGCACCACACTCTCCCTGCTGTTGGAAACTAGCTTTCGAACTGGACCGAAGTATGTGCATTCAGAATCTATTAATTGCGCCCGGACTGAAGTGTATCAAGCCAAAACGGGTGTGCTCGCTGGCACAAGAGATTGTGGTTGTTGGGTGCATGAGCACAGGGCGCGATGCAGACAAGCTACGTAATGAAGGCAGAGCAGCAGGCACTGACCCATAATTAGTACAGTTGCTGATATCCCTGGGTAGTAGTAGTAGAATTAATTTTATTATTTTACTAGGGAACTCCCAACAGGCATTGCCTTTTTACTGGGAACCCTAGGAATGACTTGGGTATGGACTCTTCGTGACGTCAAGACTCCAGAGCTAACAGTCTGCAACTGTGAGTATGGGTTGGTGCTCAGCGTGCTGTGTATTTGCCTGCACCACGCCCTGTATTCATGCACTCCAAACCACTATCTCTCATACCTGCAGAGCCATTCTTGCATGAGTCGTTCTGGTACTAGTAACTTCAGTTCTTTTCCGTACGAAAGTCGGTCTCAAACTACAGGGAAAGTGTGGTGTTTGATTTTCTGGAGTGTGCTGATATACATGCATGATATAGTGAAGGCAGAAAAGAGATCACAGTTGCATGCTTTTGGGGTCTTGAATGTAACATATGTCAGGTAGGTTATCCTATTGGAGGAACAGCTGCGTTTCCATAGTGTAGCGGTTATCACGTTCGCCTAACACGCGAAAGGTCCCCGGTTCGATCCCGGGTGGAAACATACATTCTTTTTTTAAATTTTTTATATGTATGCGCCAGAAAGTTACTGGAAACCAGGGAGTCGTACAATATGACTTCCTACTGAAAGCCTCCTCCTTTCTGTGGCATATGCTTTCGGCACCCCAAGGTCCCCCTTTTTGACGGCGACTAATATTCAGTGCCTACATGGCTGTATTACCGTAAAGTACCGCCAGAGCGCCCCACCATCTCATCCTTTCGTGGTCGTATTGTGGAGGTGGTCTGCTGTCTGTAGGTCATACGACATGAACCTTGTACACATATTGCACGTTTTGCAGTCAATTCGAACCTTCCAGCGGACACAAGCTCCACACAAAAACCTGCCAAGTGTGACCTTAGTACACTAAGATTCTCACATCGTACAGACTTCGTTGCACTCTGCCATACGATTTTCCTTTCTCTGGCTGTAAAATCAAGGTGGGGCGCTCTCGCGAGACGGGGCGCTCTGGCGGTACTTTACGGTAATAGTAGTATTACTCAATCTCCGGACAGCTAGGTGGCTTGATCCTGTTGGATCTCGTCAGCGGAGCTCTATAATGTAGAGTTACTGTCCAAACTGATCACAATGAAGTCTAATGAACAGCAAAGCAGTTTTAAACCTGGTCAAACCATCAATGTCAGGGTGCTCTAACTGTGATCATCAATGTCAGGGTGCTCTAACTGCGATAAATGCAGCAAGTAATACTCGATCTCCACGCATATTATTATTAGGCCATCCAGAATTTATTCGTTGTTTCGGGTCACCCGACCGACCGTCTTTTTTCACCCGACCGCAAAATGTTTTTTTTTTATAGTGCATGCAAATGTACAGACTACACTATGTACACACGCGACCCTAATAATAGCAGTCCAGATATCGACCTCAGAAGCAGCCATGGCTAGCGAAATGACAGGATGCAGCGCTTGGTGACGACGTTGTCTTCTATCTCCGATCCGCAATCGGTCCTGAAACAGGATCAGCTCCGCCACCTTGTCACTATTTACAGAAGTTTTCAAGATGAGAGCTGCTCGTCAGACTCGTTTGCCAGCGAGGCCAAGATCTGGTCCTGGAGGGGACCTGGATCTGATGGGACAATGACTGCGCTGGATTGTCTACACTACAGTCAGATTTGATCGACTGGCTAGATGGACAAAAGCTATTCGATGTACATGTATGCACATGGACGTAATTATTATTTTGCTTGTTCGCGTTGGCATCAACCTGCATAAAGCAGGTATATAGCCTTCGCTTAAGCTGCCATAAAAAAGAAAGCTCATCCTAAGCGAGAGGGCTAGAGGAAAATATAACGATAACGAGATAGAGAATACAAAGAAATCCAATGAGTTAAACATACAATTCAAAACAAGAAAGAAAGGAAAGAAAAACGGAGCCGAATCTACCGATTGATCCATCAATCGACAAAAGGGGACTAATCCGTTAATGTTGCAAAGTAGAAGCTGATTGTAGTTGCAGATCTCCAGGCCAGGGCCAGCATATTGCCGATTCTGGATAGGTCTCCGCAGCATTTGATGTGGTAATTATCATAATGGTTGATAAAATTGTTAGAGTATCTAGAGTATCTAGTATCTAGAGTATCTAGTGTGTTAGAGTATCTAGTGTAATTGTATCCGTTATTATTGTTATGAGTATCTAATGTAATTGTATAACTTTAGCCACTACACACAGCACACATTAGTTCCTTCCACTTTCGACTATCCTGGGCGAGCTGCCTCAGTGCAACTAGATCCTCGTGTGATGTGAGGGAGTTTGTGGATCTGGAATTTGTCAGGTCGTTGTTGATAGATCGCGGGAGGGTTGTTCTCGGGCGGCCTCGGAACCCTGAGCTTCCTGGTTGAAAGTATGCTGACATAGCCTGCTGGACCGGGGATGAGGTGTCTAGTCGAAGCATGTGGCCAAGCATTCTCCACCTAGCAGACTGGATGATTCTGCTGAGTGGCTTGGAGCCAGTGCGCTTGTACAGTGCTTCATTGCGTATTATACGGGGATATTTGACCCCTATGACTGCTCGTAACTGCTGGCGGTGGAATGAGTCAAGTTTCTTTTCTTGAGTCTCTGTCAGGCTCCATGTTCCGCAGTTATAAAGAAGTATTGGGAGAATAAAGCTGCTGTATAACCTAATCCGAAGGGGTTCACGGGCATGGTTACCTCTTAGCCATATCACCCACAGCTGATGTAAGGCACATATTGCTAGACGTTTTCGACTGATATCTTCCTCCACTCCAAGCATCGATCCTAGTTTGACCGTGTTCCGCCATCGCTCGTCTACTCTGTCCTTTTCTCTTTTAATTGTACAAGTAGTATATTCGGTTTTGGCTTCATTTATTTTTAAATTGTATTCCGCTAACGAGGATGATAGTATGGGTTGATTGTCGTGCAAATATTGTAGGCTGGTGCTAATGAAGTCTACGTCATCCGCATACGCTGTTTCATTGGGCAATTGAAGCTGAATATCCAATGCTGGTCACGGTGAGAGTCGCTCTCGAATCAACCTCAATGCAGCCTCGAGGTAGACAGTAAACAGGACTGGCGATAGAGAATCACCTTGTGGGGTTCCATTATGTGTGACTAATCAGGGGCGTACACAGGGCGGTTCCCGGAATGCCCGGGAACCAGTGAAAAAAATTCGATATGGGTGCGGAGAATTTTTTGATCCAGGCCCAGCGCTCACAGTGCAAGTGCATGCATGTGCATGCCTGGAGTCCGCCTGACAGTCCGAGGACGGTGACTAGCCCAGGTGTAACAGTGGCGCTGGGACTGGGACACAGCGTAGACTGGGCCATGAGTCTTCTGACTGAACTGGGTTCAACAAAGTCGCTACTTTACATTGCCGGATTCCTCGATCTTCGAGTCAAATTTTCCTTTGCAGTTTGTTTTGACAAAGTTGGTCGTGTTTTCGACGATGCTTTCGCTTTGTGGAAAAGAAAAATGAAGTGTCAACATCCAGAGGGCCAGCGCTCTATTCAGGTCAAGCGATAGATGAGAATGCAGACGCACCTGACTTGCAAGCGAAGTCTGCATGCAACGAGCAGCGCTGAGGAAGAAATCGTCGGCGAAGCTGTAGAGTGACCGTTGTCGGAAGTTGCTGGATCATCCAAAACTTACTTCAGTGACATGGGAGCGTGTTGGAAGGGATATGTGTTGGAAGGGATAATCTGAAAGTCTACGTCCACAGTGGAATCCAGTCCCCCGAAATTTGCCGGACA